CAGAGCTGGATACTACAGCCAACCCCAAGTTAACTTCAAACAAAGCTAACTCAGGTATCAGGCTGCTTTGGTCTATACCACCTGGACCTCTCTGCAGGCTATTTTGCAATCCTTCTTCAGCAGCATGGCCTCATTTCTGGTGAAACCAAACCAACCAGTGGCATTTGGAAGATGTTTTCCATGTCATGGCAACACATACAACAGCCTTTGTGGATGGCAAGGGATTGCCAAAGGCAAGGCTCTCCTCTTGCAATAGTAACAAATGAAAATTTAAGGGCCCAAAGAGCAACATAAAAAGCAGGAATGGGGAGCAGTGATGAGCTCCATGGCCTTGAGGAAGGAGAATATTTGACATGGCTAGACATATGGTGGGTGAAGATATGTGTAAGCTGCTGGCCACATTGGCCTGGACCAGGGCAGTGACTGTCCTCTTGTACTCAGCACTGATGAGGCCACAACTTGAATCCTGTGTTCAGTTTTGGACCACTCACCACAAGAGAACACTGAGATGCTGAAGACTGTCCAGAAGGGCAATTGAGTTGGTGAAGGGTCTGGAGCACAAGTTCTGTGAGCAGAGAGAGCTCTGTTATTTAGCCTGGAGAAAAGGAGGCTCAGGGGAGGCTTTATGCTGTCTACATCTGCCTAAAAGGAGGTTGTGGCAAGGTGGGGGTTGGCCTCTTTCAAAGATTTTAAGTGGCAGGCTGAGAGGAAATAGCTTCAACTTGCACATCAGTTTGGGGAGGGATTGGATATGGGAAAAAATGTCTTCAGCAGAAGGGCTATCAAAGTTTGAACTGGCTGTCGAGGAAGTGGTTAAATCACCACCTGCAGCTATTTAAAAGATGTGTAGATGTGGTGCTTAGGGGTACAATCTACTGGTGGGCTTAGCAGTGTTAGGGTTATGGTTGGGTCTGATGATCTCAAGGGTCTTTTCCAACCTAAATGACTAAACACTTCCAAGACACCTAAATGTCTATATGCTGTACCTGGTTGCTGCTGAGTCATTTGGTGCCTTTGTGCAAGTCTAAACTCTATGAAGAAAGTGTCTCAGATTCTTCCTTTTGAAAGCAGAATGATGTTTACTTAGAGTAAACCTCAGAAACACCAAAAGACTGTCCTGCACTTTGAAGCTCACAGATACCATTTTGCAACAGTCATTCCCTTTTCTCCTGCTGCTGTTTTCCATATGAAAATGAAATGATTCTATGAACACTGAAATGAAAACTGGTTGCTAATGGAGGTCAAACCTTTGTCCCTTCAGATTTCTTTCCCCAGTCACCTGTGCCCAAACCTGCCTTATCAGTCCTCACTGCATTCCTTTATGCACAAAACTGTGTGTACTTTTCCATGGAGCCCCATGTTGACTGCTGACAATTTATTTATCTGCCTTCCCTTCTGCAGAGGTACTGCCTCTCTTCTTCTAGATTGAAAGCAGTTTCCACAAATCTAGTCAAAATATAATTATTGCAAACACTCTTAAAATTCAGCTGAAGACTGAGCAAGCTCAGAAGCTGCTTGTGAGGGCAAATAGCAGACCGACAGACTGATTATAAACAAAGATTGCAGAAGAACAATTTTCTTATAAAACCAAGCTACAGTAGAATTAGGAGACTCAACATGATGTCCCACAAGGACTGTAATTCACTCACCTTATTCAATTTATTATATACTAACATTTTTCATTTCACAGAGCAACACAAAATATTACACAGGAAAAAGAAGAGCTGATCACTCATTATAGTTGTTCTAGGGGTCATGAACCTCATAATGGGTTTTGCAAGCAAATATAAAAAGATTAACTACTGCACTGAAGAATTTCACTTAGAGTTAAAACCTACAGAAAGGTGAATAAACAGGGTTTTGGATTTATCATCAAATCACTATAACGCTAAGCTACACTATTTTCACTAACTAAAAGATCAATGAATCACAGATACCTACAGGAATACTGGACACCCTTCTAAATTTCAGTAGATACAGCATAGTCTTCCTCACAACACTCATGTGTTGTCACTATATACCTAAATATGGTTCCCACAGCTGAGCTCCATTCTGCGGCTGTTTTGCAGTGGTGTATGTGCTTTACATTTTGGTATTATGCATACTTCACTCTATAATGTGTGAGCTTTCTGTTTAATTTAAGTTCCTCATTCCCTTTGTGGTTGCCATCAAAGTATTTAACCTTGTTTAAAACTCACAGAACTGAAGAGTTACCTCAACAATATTGAAGCCTATGTCTTCCTGATGACCTGCATCCAGCCATTTTAAATCAACAAACAATGTCTTTTCCCTGACCCTTTTGAGCTTTTGTTCAAAAGTTTGAAGGCTGCTTACTGACAAGTGATTTGTTTCCATTAGAACATGCCTCATTCCAGCCATCCGTGACCATTTTGTACTTAGGGCTTTATAACCAGCACGTCTCAACATTCCTAAAATCCCAGAGAGTATCTGAAAATAGAATAAGAAATGAGCATTTAAATTAAAAGCAACAGCACTTGCATGAAGCTGCCAGGTTTTTATGGTAGATAATGTCTTTTTGCCCACCCCCACTCTCTCTACTCCCCCTTTTTCTCAGGGTTGTAAGCTATGTTTTCCATAATATTTTGCAATGCCACCTAGGGTTACATTCACTCTATTTATAGGGGCCTGTTTTAAAGTGAAACAGGTGTCAGATGTTGTCAGCATACAAGTCCTCTTGGGGAGGGGATGGGAGGTTTACTACTTTCTGTACTTGGGGAATTTACAGTCTGATCGCTAATCTCGCTGCAGGGCTCAGTAGGAGGAGGGAGAAAGGCAGAAGAACAGTGGAAGGAAAGGTTAGCATTCTGCTGGAGCTAGGTACTGCTGCCTCTCCCCCTGATCCATGCAACCAAATCCATGTTTTTTTCATGTGCTGAAACTGATCTGAGTGTTTGTAAAAGGGGCCAGACAGACAGACTGTCCTGAGGAATGAAATCCTTCCAAAAGACATGAAACAGACAGAGCTCAGCTGAGAATGGGGCAACTGAAGACCCCTGTCCCACCCACCCCTTTCTGTTGATTACACCAGGCACCAATTCCAGGGAAAAAGATCAGCATAATGCTTCCATGCCTCTCCATCTCATGCCACCTTTGCCATTATTATTTCCCGAATAGCTATTCATTAACATCACAATCAGGAACGCTGCAAGGATGCAAGCTACAGAACACTGCACTAATAGTGTGGAGCAGTAAATACCAGCATAAAGAGTCCCTGGGACACTGAGCTCAGAGTCAGACCAAGAAGGCAATGAGTATGTGAATACATGAAGGGGGTGGCATGGGAAGATGAGGTAACACTTACAAAATAGTTTAGAGAAAGAAGTCACAGCTTGTTGCTCACCTTCACTTTGTTTGCAGGATGACCATTCTTATTGTCAAGCTAGTTATTTGTAGGACTTAAATAGAGACCACTAAGACATCTAACACAGACCAGTAGCACTTCATGAATTGTTGAAAGTATTAATCATTATCTATATCAAAACTAAGACTCCAGAACATGCCAGACATGCTACAGTGGGAAGGAAAAGAGTTGCTACTTGTTCATCCAAATTGCAGAAGTCAACTTGACACACAGAGGGAGGACAAAGGTAATGTGATAAAAGTCAGACAGCTGACATGAGGAAGGAGAATGGAACAAGAGAAAGCATGACTGGCTTTTCTTGCTGAGAACATTTAATGCAGCAATGAGTACCTTTTCGGCACAGTATAGAAAGCAGGTCTTTGGGAAGTGTAGGAATGAGAATCTCACAAATGGCATCAATGTGTAGGGAGAACCTGACAGATGTGCAGCATCAATGCCAGAGGCACGGTGTGCATCATGAAGACTGGAAGCAGAGCTGTCAGGCTGAAGATAGTGTGGAAAGGCAACAACAGAGACTATTCGATAAGTAAGATGACACTGGTGGGGCAATGATTCAGAGGTATCTTGGATTTATCTGGCATCACCAGCATGCCAGTCTGGCCACATGATGTACGTATTTTTAAGTATTCACAGGTATTCATCAGTAATTGGAAGATAACAGCTTCCATAACACCTGAAACTGAGAGGATCTTTAAATATTCCTCTCTTGCAGATTTTTCTTGAATGTGGGTTAGGCCACCATACTGATTTCCATTGCAAGAAAGTCATCTGCAGTTCTTGGAAAGATGTAAGTCACATAAAACTGTCATAATTATCCAAGGAACAAGGCGTTAAGGCAAATGGATTTACATGTGCAAAAATCCCAGTTCAGCATGTGTTTGTGGATTTACTGTGATTCATCAGTCATTCATGTTAATTTGCTATACAAATAACAACTTACATTTTAAATTTAGTATTTGTACTTGGAGTTATCACTACTGTATAACTCATCATGGTATTTGTGGTTTCTTTTGTGTACTTATTTATGAACACATGGGGTTTAAATATAAGGAAAGTCACAAAAATATGAACAAATAATCACAAAAATATGAAAATCCCATTGCACAGAAATGCCGTGGGACACTTGCAGAACTATTTAGTTTTATTAAACAAGGGAAAAAACTCTGAAAATAACAAAGAAAAAAAAATCACATAACTTCATGGAAAATGGGATTGGGAGAAAACACACAAATATTTAAGTACAAAAGGTTACATTTTCAGAAGAGCTCACCAGCTTCCATTCCTGAAAATGAACACCAGGCTCATTGGATGCTGAGTGCTGTCAAAAATCTAACCACTTCACTGAAGAGCCTAACTGGGAGCTGAACTGTCTTTGTAATCTGATCCCATTTGGGAAATGTGGCATAACAAATTCTTTGGAAAGAACTAGATTTTATCACTGCCATTCCTGAATTAATAGAACACAGTTGATAGAGCACTTTGTGCAGTAGAAATAATTTTAATAACAAATTTGCATACAGCAAAAACAAGCAAAAAAAAATCTCTGAAGATAGCAGGTTGTCCTTACCTGCTAAATAGGAACTTCAAAACTTACCTGCTAAATAGGAACTTCAAAACAGGCAGCTGGACAAATCCCCATGTGCTCAGAGACCTCGGGCACAACTTCACTGGTCTTTGCCCTTTCCTAACCTCCGGGGCCTCTGTTTTTTCTTACGCAGAAGAGCAGAGGGAGAGTGCTGGGGACTACTAAAACTGTCATGCCACTCTTGCCTGCTGCACCATCTTCCAAAGAATGGTGCAATCATTTCTTCCATTCCACCATCTCTAAAGCTCTTGTGCCCAAACCCTCCCTCACAGCAGGATTCAGGTGTGCACACATTCATATGCATAGATGTTTATGTATATATACAGATGAAAATACAAAAGCTGAGACACTGCAGACAGGTTATCCAGAGGGGATTACAAAGCCATTGCTTCCGCCCCCTGAAAAGTGTTTGGGTCTTTAATTCAGCTATATCAATAGGAATGCTTTCGAGGCAAGGTCTGCTACCAGTCTCCTGCATCCCTTCAACTTTTGTCAGACCTCATACCTCTAAGGAAATGCTCATATCTTGAATTATATCAAACAGAGATGACAATCACTGTAGTCTTTCTTGTCATTCTTAGGTTCTTATTCCTAATAATCTTGGCAACTGATCACTTCAAAATTATCACTATCAATCTCAGTAAATCTGCTACCTGCTAGCTGTAGCTCTTTGTTTTGCTCTGCTCTCCTACAGATTCACTTCATTTTGCATTTTTTCTCAGATCACAGTTCTTTCAATTTTTTTCTGTAAACATCCTTCCTGTCTACAGCACCATACCATTCTGAGTTATATTTTCATTGTGTGACAGGCCTGCATTCTTGAGGGTCACCAAATCTGCATTTGAAAATTCCTGGATGGCTAGAGCAGAACCACTCCTTGTGCTGTGAAAGTAACAAAATAATAAAAGCATCACTGTGCAGCAGGAACATCACATTCACCTTTTAAAGGGTTTGCCACCCTTATGGAGTTAATTTACATTAACATAAATATTCCATTAGTAGAAATGTTTATAACATACTTCTCTCTCAAGAGGCATTCTGCAACAAGCTTCTTCAACCACTTATGTTTAACTAATGTGTATCATATTTGAATAACATAAAAGACAACTGAGTTAAGTGATTGAATGCCTGGAGAAAACCAATGTTAATTTCCACTAAAAGCAAAGCATATTCCCTTCATTTTGCTGCTTAATTACTGCAGTATTTGGCCCACAAATAAAAACAGTGGTTCAAGAAGTCTCCAATAATAGCTTGCTGAAGCTTATTTTTGCCCTCCCACATACCTCTAAAAAGGACTTTCCATACGCATTATTTCAAGTCCATTCCTGTGACCCAGAGTAAGGCTGGTAAGGTTGAATACCTGCTTTCCAATATGCTGTTGATGTAACCTGATAACCTTGCAGGAGCTTGGCATGGGGTGGCTTCTGCATCCCAGGCTACCTTAGTGCCAAAAATCCTCTCAAAGAATATGGAAAACAATCCTCTTCTCCTCAATTCTGATAGGATATTCTCCATGGTTCTCTGAAATTTTCCCAAAGAAGCTTTATAAGAAACTTTAGTAATTAATTGATCCCCATGCTATTCTGCTACTTTGACTTGTTGGCCATGTACTTTTAAAAACAGTAGCAATGACTTCTCAAGGTAGTTGGTTAAGATGAAGGACATACTGTTTCATATAAATTTCAACTCTCAGATATCCAAAATAGATTGGATTAGTTTTCCAACCATACAAAAGGCAATATTAAAAAAATCCATTAAGATGAAGAGAAGGCAAAGGCAAGTCAGTAAGTAAAGAATGCATTAAAAAGCTTAACCAGACTTCTAGTTTATGCAGAGAAAACACATCACTGACAAAGTTCAGGCAAGCTCAGAATAAACTTGAGGCTATGAGCAGGATCACTCCTTTGACTTTGGTAGAATGAGGGCTATTTACTTCATCTGGAATAAAGCAGTGTACTGATGTCTTACATTATTGCTCAGTGAAGTTGTAACCCAGATTTCTACTCCAGGCATCAGAAAACTTATCATAAGAGTTACTTAAAGTGTAATTATTCCTACTTTATCATGGTTATATAAAGTTAGCTTGTTTTGTATGAACTTCTGTGAAATTTCTAAAACTCTGTTGCTAAAAATTTAGTTCTAGAGACTGGTTTTCAAGCAGTCAGATGAGCGTGCAAGAGAAAAACTCAGAAAGATTAATTTGAGCCTTGTAAAGCTTTAATTCTTTTCTTTAATGCTCTGGCTGTTAATTATTTCTTTCTGTAAGTAATAAAATATTTGATTCTTCACTAAAGTATGTGAAAAAATCTGCAAAACAGCATTAGCAGGAAGCAAATGTTTAATTTCAACTCAAGCTTCAATGACTTTTAAGAAAGAGGGTATATTTCCCTGAATAGATCATATGATCTCGTGTGCTCAGCCCACCCCAATTCTCTAGTCTCTTATCTTTATGTCCAGAGTGCACACAAGTGCACTCTACAAAGAATTTACAGGACCACCCTTTAATGCAAATGGACATTCACCTTCTGGCAAGACTTTTAAAATTCCTGGTACTGTATGTGGTACATTGAGATGGCTGACTTAGATTATTGACTTCTATGGACAATGTATATTGAGAAATGGCTGAATGGCAGATCTCAGAGTGTTGTAATCAGTGGCACAAGGTCTAGCTGAAGGCCTGCCATTAGCGGTGTCCTCCAAGGTTCCACACTGGGCCCAATATTGTTTAGTCATCAATAACTTGGATGAATAAACAGATGCCTCCTCAGCAAGTTCACTGATGACACAGAGCTGGGTGCAATGGCTGATACCCCAGAGGGATGTGCAGCTCTTCAGAAGGACCTTGACAGGTGGAAGGGATGGGAAGAGAAGAAACATCTGAAATTCAACAAAGGTAGATGCAGGGTCCTGCACCTGGGGAGGAACAACTCCAGCAGAGGCTGGGGCTGAGCTGCTGGAAAGCAGCTCTGAGAAGGATCTGGGGGTCCTGGTGGACGACAAGCTGTCCACGAGCCAGCAGTGTGTCCTGGGGGCCAAGAAGGCCAATGGGATTAGGATGATCTTTGCCAGCAGCTTAAGAGAGGTGATTCTGACCCTCTACTGTGCCCTGGTGAGGCACATCTGGAGTGCTGTGTCCAGTCCTGGGCTCCTCAGTACAAGAGAGACATGGAGCTACTGGAGGGGGTCCAGGGCAGGGCTACGAGGACAAATTATTGGATGAGGGAGCATCTCTCTTATGAGGAAAGACTGAGAGAGCTGGGCCTGTTCAGCCTTGAGAAAAGGTGACTGAGGGGGGACCTGGTCAATGTCTGTGAGTATCTGAAGGAAAGCTGTCAGAGGATGGATTCAGGTTCTTCTCAATGGTGCCTAGCAACAGGACAAGGGGCAAAAACTCCACCTGAACAAGGGAAGCTCCACCTGAACTTGGGGAAGAACTTGACTGTGCAGGTGACCAATCACTGGTATAGTTTGCCCAAAGAGGGTGTGGAGTCTTCCTTACTGAAGATATTCAAGAACTATCTGGACACAACCCCATGCCATGTGCTCCAGGTTGGACCAGATGACCCACAGTGGTCTCTTCCAGCCTGACCCGTTCTGTGACTCTGTAACTGACTTAATGCAGCATGGGTATAAAAGAGTGCACAGGGATAACACCCATTAGGGACAAAGGGCTGATGAGAAACAAAGGAATAGATGTTAAAAAAATAGATGTAATTTATTTTAAAGAGCCTCCCATTTCTCACTTCTAACATTTGAGGTCAGTTTAATACAAAGGCACAGGTGATTTAGTTATTTGCCTGCTCGTACAAGGTGTTGTTTGAAGCAATCGAGCAGTGCTGAGAATAACTACTACGCCCGTGTAGAGATTGTCCCCAACCGTGTGCAAAAGGGTATTTATGCAGTTACTTTCAATTACAGCTGTTGTGTGTGTAAGTAGGAATTTTTTTCTAATTTGTAGAGGGTTCCACAAATTCAGAGATTCTTCTTATTTCCAGATGTCATGCCAATTATTATCTGCTGATTGAAGCAGATGCCTTATTTTCAGGAGCTGTTGAAGGAAACAGTTGTATCTGACTGTATATGACTCCTACCCAGTATTTTTGTCTTCGGGAATGTTAATTGGATTAAAGACCAAATCAGTTTTGCTGTTCTTCTGAAGATCAATCAAACAAGGAATCTAAGTGCATGGCTGGTTTTACATATGTAAGTATATTGATGAAATCTGCTCATATTTTTGAAGCTAGACAGGTACTAAAATTCCTTACATGAAACCAATTTCTTAATGATGGTGGACTGAGACTAGACCTTGGAAGAAAAACTTGGGGGTGTTTCTGGATGAAAAGCTCAATGTGATTCAATAATGTGCACTCATAACCCAGAAAACTATCTGCATTGTCAGCTGCATCCAAAGCAGCGTGGCCAGAAAGACGAGGGAGGGGATTCTGCCCCTCTGCTTTACTCTGGTGAGGCTCCACCTGGAACTCTGCACCCAGCTCTGGGGTCCCCAACAGAAAAAAGACATGAATAGATCTAGACAAGAGCCACAAATTTGTTCAGAGGTCTGGAGCACCTCTCCAACCATAGAGAAGTGAACACTCTGGGAAGACCTTAGAGCAGCCTTCAAGTACCTAAAGGGGGTCTACAGGAAGGCTGGAGAGGGACTTTTCACAAAGACATTTAGGAAGACAACAACAGGGAATGACGGCCTTAAGGTGAAGGAGGGTAGGCTGAGATTAGATATTAGGAAGAAATGCTTTACTCTGAAAGTGTGAGGCAGTGGAACAGGTTACCCAGAGAAGTTGTGGGTTATCCATCCCCAGAAATGTTCAAGATCAGGCTGGACTGGGCTCTGAGCAACCTAGTCTAGTGGATGGGGTCCCTGTCCATGGAAGGGGGAATTGGAACCAGATGATCTTATCATCCCTTCCAACTCTAACTATTCTATGATTCTAATTAAATTTTTATTCTCATGTAATAATGCTCATTTAAGTACACTACCAAAGAAAATTCAAAAGAGTAGCCACATGTTTCGTGGTACTTCTGCGGACCCCAGATACTTCTTATCTGCCAGCTAGGTAGTAGAACAGTTATTTTGCAGCTGCAAACATCTCTGCATTGGACAGCACACACAGTTTCTCTGTTTTAGTGATTATTGGAGTCATTAAAATATTGCCTTTAAGACTGCTACTTGCATCAAATGTAGTATAGCACTGAAATCAAATAAAAACTGTGATGTGTGTTAATGGAAATAAGAATTGGGTTACAGAAAGAAAGAAGTCCTCAATCTGATTTGGTAAAACACAGGGCAATAGAGCAGAATGGAGGGATTTCTGAGTGTGCATGGAAGTTATCAGCATGAAGCTGTTGTGGAGAACTTTCAATGCCAGCAGGGATTTCTAGCATGGACGAGGAGGATGCACATCAGATCAGGAAAAATGATGGCACAGGAGAGAGCTGGGGAGAAATGTGGCAAGACTCAGAAGAGTCATGGGGAACGAAGACCTATGCACCTACCTCTACACCATGGACAACATTCCTCCTTTCTGGGAAAACTAACAGTGAGCTCCATGCCACAGTCACAGCATCAGACATCAAAGAAAAACACAACTGAAACATATAACAACAAAATAAAATAAAATAGCAATTCTAGCACTTAAAGAGTACTGACACTTAATACTGTAACTGCCTTCCAAACAATAGACTCTGCGCAGCCAGATGTTCATGGTACATTTGATCATAAAGAGCAGAGAAGCAATGTCAAAAAAGATGAAGCCTTCCAGCTTCTTTGTAAGCAAGCCTGATGAAAGATACCTGTCTGATAGCTATATGAAGGATTTAAGCCTCAAGTTTATTTCAGCAATGCACAGAGGTGCACTGCTCTGGAAGCTTCACTCTTCCCTAGGTGGTAGGAAGCAGAAGCTACAGTTGCTGTTGCTGAAAGGACTACATACACTTGAAACTCACACACACACACACACATACACGTATATATATATAAATATATATATATATATGTGTGTGTGTGTGTGTGTGTGAGTATGTATATGTATATGTGTATATATATATATGTACACACATATACATACATACATGTAAAACCACCATTATCATGTGTAGTTACTCTCAGCTCTGCTTACTATAAGAGAAGCATAGAGCTACCTGGTCTTCTCTTTACACATCGTAAACTTTGCCACTGGAGAACCACAACTTTAGGAAGAATCACCAAAGTGCCCTCCTGAAGAAAAGTATCTATGAGGAGACATCACCAAGAAGCAGCTACCTTCCTACCAGGCATATTTCTTTTTTTATTTTATAGGAGAAATATATTCTTAGTATTCACAGTAGTACTTTCTCAAAGACAGGTTATATAAAGTGATACAACACACACACACAGAAGCACGCAAAAATAAAATATGAATGACTCACTGCACTTATGCAAACTAAGTTGCGTAAGCCTGTTTTTCTCAACTCTTAAAAAACCCCAAAACAGCACATACACAACCCTACAAAATGAGCTGAAATGCTCAGTTATGAAAGCTAAAATTGTTGAATAAAAGCAGAACTCCCTCAGCCTCTCTGGGTCCTTCACACCCACATCTGGTATAATGTTTACTAATGGATAAAAATAGAAAGTTGAAACTCAACAGACCCTAACATTTATCACATTATTTAAGAATCAAAACAGAAAACATCTGAGAAGTGGCATTCACTTCTCAGGCAAAAGAAACATAAAGAGGGAAAGATCAACAGCTGCGTTTTGAAAGGGACTCAGTTAACTCTCACTGAAATACTACCCTCTAGGTACTTAGCAAGGACAAACTAGAAAGAAAATAATCAACTGTACTTCTTCATTTCAACAGGTAGGTAATTTTAATATAACCTGAAAATAATTTAATCTTTAAAAAAAATCTTGCAGAATGTCCTCTAAACCATTACATTCAATCTGTTGTTGGCAGATGACATCACAAGACTTGATTTCTTTAGACATGCACAAAATGCATTTTTCTTGCAAAAGAGCAAGTTATTTTCTCATCTGCCAGAACCAGCAGATGACAGCATGAATGGCAGAGGTGGGACATGAGCACATGAGTCACTTTTCAGGGGTTCAGTAACCATTATCTGTCCCATGAGCAAGGTACCCTTGATCAGTCCATAAAGCAATAGCTGTTCAATTTCAGATTTGGAAAAGTTTGGCACACCAACTTTTAGAGCTGCCAAATCATGCTTTTGAACAGATAGGCCACAACATTTAGATAAAATAAGCCCTGAATTAAGGAAGGAGTAGCTTGAAATGAACCTTCTAATGTATTCTCAGAACTGTGATCCAAAATAATCTGAGAGCTTTTACAAATAATCCTTTTAAATTGCAGTAGTAGCATTAATTTGGTGAATTATTCAACTCTATTGCTGATGATAAGATGTCAGGCTAGAAAATTGTATGAGTCAGCTAACTCACTCACAGGATCCTGTTCTCTCTGTCTCCCGGACCCAGTATACAAATACATAGCACACAGGTGGAACATGCCACTCATTAGACACTGACTTCTCTGAGCACCTGAATGTCATAGAATCACAGAATGGCTTGGGTTGGAAGGGAACTTAAAGAACATCTTGTTCCAACATCTCTGATATGAGCAGGGTTGCCTCTTACTAGACCAGGTTGCTCAACTGGCTGTGAACACTTCCAGGGATGGGGCATCCACAGCTTCCCTGGACAACCACTCTCACAGTAAAGAATTTCTTCCTAATATCTAATCTAAATGCATTCACTCTCTTTCAGTTGGAAACCACTCCCCCTTGTCCTGTCACTACAGTTCCTGAAGAAGGATCCCTCTTTGGCTTTCTTCAATAGGCCCCCTTCAGATACTAGAATGTTGCTATGAGGTCTCCATGCAACCTTCTTTCATCCAAGCAGAACAGCCCCAGCTTCCTCAGACTTTCTTCACAGGGAAAGTGCCATTATCAACTTTGTGGCCTCCACTAGACTTGCTCCAGCAATTTCATGTCCTTCTTATCTTGGTGGCACAAGTGGGGTCTCACCAGAGCAGAGCAGAGGGGAAGAATCACCTCCCTTGATCTGCTGGCCACACCTCTTTTGACACAGTCCAGGACGTAGCTGGCTTCATCAGTCAACATTCCCAAGTCCTTCTCCTCCAGCCTGCTCTCAATCACTTTGTTCAACCTGTAGCTGTGTCTGGGACTGCCACAACCCAGGCACAAGATCTTGCACTTTGCTTTGTTAAACTACATCAGGTTCAGGCTGGTCCAGCTCTGAAGCATGTCCAGGTCCCTGTGGATGACATTCCTTCCCTCCCATGTGCATCACACAGCTTGGTGTCAAACTGGCAAACTAGCTGAGGGAGTACTCAACACCTCAAGTCTGTGTGAGTGCTCAGAGGCTGAAGCACTGCTCAGAGAAGGGGCAGGTGGCAGACCTGAGCACACCAGGGTCCGGCTAATGCTGAGAAGAGCTGTAGTGCCAGGACAGGCAGATGAGGACCCTGGACGTGATGGGAGAGAATGCGGCACTGGTCAAGGACAGCAAAGAAGGGAACAGAGAAGGGAGACTGCAGGATGGCTCAGGAGGAACCTGAGGCAGTGCCACAAGAATTTTTAAAGGTGAGACTGCTTTAAAGAAAATACTAGCAGGCACTAGAATAGTAGATATTATATGTAGGAAGAAAACTCTTAGCACATCTTGTGTTAGAAGTTGCAGCTCTATCTCAGAATTCCAGCATCTCCATTCCAGCTCTGTTACTGCAGAAAAATCCCCTGATAGCATCCTAGTCTCACAACTGAAAGAGCTGCCTCTTTTGTTTCATATGATACACAGGACACAAGTCCTGGTTCTGTGCCCACTGCCTGTTACTTATTCAACATGACAGACACATAGAAAACAGAACAGAGTATATTTAGAGGAAATAAAAGCCTAGACTTTAAGGCCACAAGCCACAGCTCATTGGTTTTGTAAGATATCTTTAGAAAAATACCATTTTCTGTGTTGTGGTAAATTAAGAGTTTCTATTTGAAGAAAATATTGATTTTTTGAACTACAGAGTTGGCAATAAAAAAAAAAAAATCTTGCTCTCTTTCACAAGAGCAATCAAAGCAACCCTGATTTTCAGAGAGCTCATGGATGACCAGACTTCAGTTTTAAACTGTTGCCAGCTTTGAAGTACAGGTTTCTAGCACACTGGTAACCCAAAAATCTGCCTGCACTACTGCCTCAGCCACAGAGACAGACAGCATTCAGAAACCAGTTCTGTCTGCTCTGGAAGACAGCCTAAGGCAGAATCAGAAGTTCCCCTGCCTTCAAATTAATCTCATTTAGCACTAGGAAGGCAAAGAACAACTATATTCATGGACTGCACTGTTTCCAAGATGCTTCTAGCGCTAGAGCAAAATGTCCGTCCAAACTGCAAACTAGCTTAGGTTTAGTTTCAGAAAAGAGTCCCAGGTATCATACAGTGACAGCTGCTACATGACTCTGCCTTCCACTTCAAGACACTTTGGGTCACTGTAGGGTCAGGTTGAGCCAGGGGCGGTACACCATGCTAGGCAGCAGCAACACCAAGACAAGTGTCTTGCTAAAGATCTATCAGTAAAACCCTGATGAACCATATTTCAATACTAAAACCACTGCAAAATATTCCATTCTGGGGAACCAGATGAAGGCCAGTTTGTACTGCTGACTGCTTTAACATGTTTTAAGCAGGTTGTTACAGGTACTTCTAGCACTGCAACACAGAGTTTTGCACGGGTCGTTTATGATACACTGTGCCACACAGACCAGGTCCAGAAATTATATAATCTTGTCAGCTACAACAAACAAATAAAAAAATCCTTCTATAAATGGAACTTAAGTGCATACTAACAGATAAATCCAGCTTGACTGATACGAACAATACTATAGTTGAGAAAGACACGAGGAGGAGCTGAAAGAAATAAGGTGACACAAATCTAAGACCTATCTAATCTTAATTCTACCCATTCTGTCCTGTCCATTGTCCATAGAAGTCAATAATCTAAGCCAGCCATCTCAATATACATACAGTACCAGGAATTTTAAAAGTCTTGCCAGAAGGTGAATGTCCATTTGCATTAAAGGGTGGTCCTGTAAATTCAGAAGTCATATAAATTAACTTTCAGATGCTTTTAGATGCATCTTTTTAAGATGCTTTTAGATGCATCTTTTTAAGATGCTTTTAATTCTGGAGAACTAGTTCTAGACCTACCAAGTCGGTGGTTAATTTTATTTCCACAGTTTGTCAAGTCACATAAAGTCAAATCATGCATAAGTTTTTGCACAACACAAATTTTTAAGTGTTAGCCCTTTCAGAGAAGGAAATATTTTGAATAACTAACACAAGCCAGAATATTGTGCATGTATAGTTAATACTATTTCAGTATATTTGGATTTCCATTCAACTTTTGTCTTTCAGTAGTGTCACAAATAACCAAACCCATTTATTTCCTTCATTCTGTCTTTCAAACAACATGACAGAGGACAAAGAGAAAATACCCAGTCAGACAGGGCAAAATTCAGTTTTATAAGAATCTATTTTACTGAAATCTGCTAAAAATATCTACTTGGGTTTCGCAACTTCATCCTGACCAATGACAA